TGCCAAAAAAGGCCAACACAGTTCTAGGCTGCATCAACAGAGGGATAGAACCAAGATCACGTGATGGGTTAATACCACTTCATCAGGCGTTGGTAACACCATACTTGGAATACGGCATTCAGTTTTGGTCGCCACGATGTAGAAAAGATGCTGAGACTCTAGAAAGAATGCAGAGAAGAGCAACAAAGATGATTCGGGGACTAGAGACTAAAACATATGAAGGACGGTTGCAGGAACTGGGAATGTCTAGTTTAATGAAAGGAAGGACTAGGGGAGACATGACAGCAGTGTTCCAATATCTCAAGGGTTGCCACAAAGAAGAGGGAGTCAAACTATTCTCCAAGGCACCTGAGAGCAGGACAAGAAGCAATGGGTGGAAACTAATCAAGGAGAGAAGCAACTTAGAACTGAGGAGAAAATTTCCTGACAGTTAGTACAATTAATCAGTGGAACAGCTTGCCTCCAGAAGTTGTGAATGCTCCAATACTGAATAAGTATAATCTTTATTGTCATTGTAGTTAAATACAATGGAGTTGGAAGCTGGAAGCTTTAAAGAAAAGATTGGACAACCCTTTGTCTGAAATGGTATAGGGTTTCCTGCTTAGGCAGAGGGTAGGACTAAAAGACCTCCAAGGTCCCTTCCAACTCATTCTATTCTATTTTTTCCAAATCTCGTTGGGAAAGGTCCTGAAAGCCGCAGCGCCAAAGCCCCTGGAACGTTTTCCTCCCAAAATGATCCTTGGAGCTGTGTTTACAGTAGCACGCTGGGTCTGGCTTCCCTCCCCTCGCCAGCATAGAGGCCCTTTCTCCGAAGGAGAGACTCGGACTGAATGAGTCTGTGTGTCTGCACTTCCTGGCCTTGACTGCTGCTTGGAGATTTTGTATAAACAATGACAGCGAGAGCTTTCCCCTTGGCCTCTGTCGTGCAGTTGTGTTCTTTGCTGGCGCTCCAGAAGCAGAGACCAATTGGGCCACACAATCCGAGGTGCATTGCTTAGAAATGGAGCATCCCGGCTAGTCCCGCTGCCCATCCTCAGACCAGGATTTGGATCAGGAGTATCCAAACTTGGGAACTTTAAGATTTATGGACTTCAACTCCCAGAATTCCCCAGCCAGCAGTCCACAAGTCTTAAAAGTTCCCAAGTTTGGACACCCCTGATTTAGATGAACCTGGTCCAATTGAGCCAGCTCCTTTCAAACCCTGCTTCCCAACAGCTGCTAGCCAGATGCTCCATCCAGGAAATGAAGAGGCAGGAGCCACAACAACTGCATCTCCAGGCTGTGCAAAATACTGAGACGAGCCAGCTGGATTCCAGCAACATGCTCAGCTGAAATGGGGCCTGCCTCTTGCAGTCTGCAAACCATAGGAGATGGGTTTTCATGTTGTGGGAAGCTTGCTAGTGGGGATTGATTCAATAAACCAGGATTGAACCATGGTGTGAAGCAACTCAAACTATACTGGAACCATGTAAACTGTTGAGACTCGCTAGCTGTGTGTCCCAAGACGTGCTGAGCCACAGAGCCTGGAAATTGTGCAGGGAAGAGCCAGAAAGATAATAAAAGGTCTGGGGACTAAATCATATGAGGAAGGGTTGAGGGGGCCCTTGATATTTGTACTCCGAAGAAGAGAAGGATCGGAAGAGAAGAAATAATTGTCTTCCAGTACAGAACTTCAGGAATTGTCTATGGAGATTCTCCGTCCTCCAGTCATGGTTGTCCCAAAAGCGCAACTTGGACTTTCTGGTTTTTCTCTGAAGATGTTTTGCTTCTCACCCAAAAAGCTTCTTCAGCTCTGACAGGACGGTGGGGAATGGGAGGATTTATACTCCTGCGTGTCCTGTTATCTGTTTGAATGAATTTCCAGAGGAAAAATTGCAGACCATTTGCACTACTCTGGTAACCCTGAGGACACAGATAAAACCTCCAAGTGGCCTCAACCACCCTCTAAAAGGATGCAAATGACCAGCTGTCTGCAGGGAACTTAAATCCTTTTATTCCCTGCCATCCAGTCAGAGCTGAAGAAGCTTCTTGGATGAGAAGCGAAATGTCTTCAAAGAAAAAACCAGAAAGTCCAGTTGCCTGTTGAAAAAAGCAGCTTTGGTACTACTTGAGGGATTATCACCGAGAAGAGGTGATTGTCTTATACCGGAGGGCAGGCCCAGGGGTGGGTTCTGGCTTCTTCTACTGCTGGTTTGCTCAGGGGGCACTTAATGGACGCTATGTGCGCATGCACAGAAGCAAAAAACAAGATGGTGCCGCCTATGGTTCAGGGGTGTGGCTGGCCAAGTTACTACTTACTCGGCCAAACTGGGCCGAACCAGTAGGCACCCACCTCTGGGCAGGACAAGAAGCAATGGGTGGAAACTTGTTAAAGAGAG